TATTATCTAAATTTGATTGTAAATTTATTTATTTATTATCTAAATTTGTATTTCTTTATTATCTAAATTTGGATATACAAATGTTTATATAGTTATTTTTAAAACTATTTATAATTTATAGTAAATAGTGTTCTACCAAATAAAAATATAATTATATAAGCATATATACAAGTATATCGCAAAATGGTTTTATAAAATAATTAATTTTTTATTTTTTTTATTTCACTCTTCTTTTAAATCTAAACTAATTGAAAAATATATAAGTCTTATTATAAAAACATAGCATAAATAATTCACTTGCAAAATATCAATATTATAACATTTTTTTTCTTTATTTTTATACTGATTCACATCCAGATACTTAAACAAACTGTATATAAGTATGCCATCTCAAGTAATTTCGACATTCCTATATGCCGGGTGATATAATCCAAATTATATATTATTACAGTACGGAAATTTCACTTGAAATACAGCTGTATATATTCTGCACCACTATTGCACCACTGCTGCACCAACGCTATACAATTGCTGTACAATCAATATATAGGAACATCCCCATGTCATTTAAAAATAATAATAAATCTCTGCTACTATGTATATCGTGTCCTATATAGGTTCAAGTCCCAAAATCAGGCCAAAGCCTAACTCTCTGTCAAATATTTGAACAAGATATTTCTGGTACCATTTGTGTTCCTATCCATCTTCACTTCACACGAATCACATTTGAACATTTTTAATCCTCTGAGATCATTCTTCATGAACCCACAACATCCACATGTCTTGGACGTGTATTCCTCAGTGCACTCGATGATCTTGCAAATGTGGAACTCCCTTGTCTTATGTTGTAAGAACATCTGAAACCTGAAATGCAATCAAGTCAGCATTGTGTAAGCAGTCTTTGACCGAATCTTTCACTTATTCTTTAAAACCATTCTTGAATATTCGAATTTAGATAACAAGATGATCTCGTAATTCATGCACAACTATCTTGCAAGCTGGTGATGGCACTTATCTATTAAATGACAGATTCGTTGTATAACTTGCAACATTTTTTTTTTAATCTAAATCTTTTTCTCTTGTTTGTTTGTCCTAACACAAGATCCTTGTTGCTCTGTAATTTGTCATATTTCTTGGATAGTTTGAATATTTTGTTGAGATCACCATTACCCCACTCAATTAATTGACTGTCAGGATCATAATCAGTTATAAACGTGTGAACACCTGGATCAAACAAAATTACCTTTTCCTGAATATTATCTTGGTTATTGATAATATCTAGAGGAACAGAAACACACAAGTAAAAATATCCTAGGTGATTCATAGTAATGTTCATTATGTTATTAACCTTTAGTAATTGTTCTAAAGTAACAATATCCTTTAGAAACGTATATTTTCCTCTGTTTCTATTCCAATCTCTAGCAAGGATCAAGATGGTTTGTATTTGATCCTTCTTTGATTGGTACTTCATTCAAAAATTATTTCCATGCAACTTCTTGTTTGTTTTATATATGCTTATTAATTGTCTAATCACATATAAAGATACTTTCCTAGGAGTCTCATTTACCTATAAAAGTTCTTTAGTTGTGAAACATTCATTGTTTAAATAATGCCTTTATATAATACTCATGTCAGTGATCCTATTATCCTTTACCATCTTAAGTACTTTATTGTATATTTACCTTGTGGCTCCCATCCACTTTCTTAGCTTTTCTCTTTTTTCGGGTATTGGATAAATCTGTATCTTTCGTATTTTCAATCTCTTTTTGTCATTTTTGATTTTCAGCTGATTCGAGTCCATTGTGTCTTGCTATAAAGATAGTAATGATTGATAATAGATTCTCAGCAAGCTTATTGGATTCGATTTCATTAACGTTAATGTTTGAATCAAGTACCATGATCTTTGTATCATGTTTACTAAAGAGATAGTCCTTGTGGATAACCACAACCTCCTTGATATCTCTTTGATATGATCATTCCAAAATGGATGTAAAACCTTTGTGTTTTCAGTTGAGACCTGATCCGATGTCCTTAATAAGTTTGTGGTCTGAACATTTTTGTCTAAAGTACTCACATTGTCTGTCGAGATTTTTTTTTTGCTTTTCTGAATTGACTCGTATATAACAGATCTTTTTCTTTTCATTGGTTTTTAAATATCTTCTCCACATCCACTATGAAATACAACCTGTTGCCACCAGGTGTTCTAATATTCAATATCTTCTTAATTGTTTCACCTTCTCAATGTTTCAAATGAAATTTCATATGTTTTTCAAATTTCTTGTGCTTCTCGATACTTTATCATTGACATTATCTTGCTCAAATATGCCAAGCAGACTTATTTATATTTGGCTAATTCTTTTTGAAAATGACAAAAATGTTATATACAATATTTAGATCACTATTTTTTGAACAATATATATACAATATAAATTCTAAAAGTACAATTATAAAGTTGGAAAAATCTCTGTCTGCCTTCAAAAAAAATTACTCATATTTGAATTCAAATTCAGGGATATTCGAGTCATTCGAGTTGATTCAGCTCAAACCACATAATTAGGGATGCTAATGACTTGACTTAAGTTGATAACTTTTGACTTAAAGTCAATAGTCATTTGAGTCGACTTTTATATAAAGTCAGTTGACTTAAAGTCAATATTTAAGGAATTTAATATTATACATTAATTTTATTCAATTATATTTAAATAAATTATTTTTATTACTATTGTTATGTTATTACTCCTTGTTAATACAATATTCTATAAGTTATTACTATATGGATAATTATTTTGGAAGGTGACAAAAATGCTAGATATGATTTTTTTTTTTTTTTTTTTAAGTTGGTTAAGGACATTAGATACGAAACTTTTATTTACTAATTAATAGTACTGTCATTACATCAAACATCTTTACAGACTAAACTATTGCTATTCTAGAATATAAATTAATGCTATCTAGTAATTACCATTTCCAGTAGTACTGGTTTCCCAAAGTCCAACCTGACTACCCTGGTTGACCAGCTTGCATCAAGTAGATGGGCTCGCGTCAGGTGGAACTTACACAAGATGAAGAAAGTCCTATCACTAGTTTAAACCTACTATCCTATTGATCCAATTGTATTTTTTGGCTGCCTGCCAGGAGAAGGTCATATGGAATATTATTATAGAGACTAACCCCAGTATTACAGTCACTGTTATCACTGATTCTCAGGATGTGATACTAGTATAACATTGCACTACCATTTTTACCATGGTATCCTTGCTTGGATTCTGATTTAATCTTGACGATCCTCACCAGACTTACTTGGTCTTGATGATTTTTGCCTATATTGTCACCACTTGTGGCAGATAACCTTTACCCTTTCAGTCCAATTTAAGTTCAGGAGAACACTACATTGGGATAGATCTTCAAACTTCATATTGGAATATATCAGCTTAGAATTGATCTCTTTTTATGTTATGTAATGGAGTCTGTCGTCACCAGTTTGGGTTAAGATTTTGTGAGCTTATTATTTGAAGTTAGACCAGAAGCCTTTCCTCGTGCAACATTCCTTGCTTCGATCTGTTTTCAGCCCATGATTGTCAGGAAGACCAGAGGTCCTATCTTTATGCAGCCTAACTAGTTTTTGGAAGATGATTTGTGACTGATTGGGTATGACATGAATTGGAAGCTAGTCAACCAATTATAAAGGTGATAAATTTTTGTAACCAGGTGAGATTGAACTCTAGACCTTCTCCTGATGACCTATGGAACTTTACCACTGAGCTATAGACCTATAGGTCAATACATATAATTTTATTGATTTTTTAGAGATTATATATATGTAATATAAAATAAAACAATAAAATAATAAACTAATGTTTCATCCTAATTATTCTAATATTTTTAAAATCCTATATTAATAATTAAAGAAACTAAAAATAAAATAGAATAGAACTATTAATATTTGTAAACTCATATTATTATAATATTAAATACTTTTTAGAATTAAATATTATATGTCATATGCCATATATTAAATATTACTTGTATATGTTATATGTCCTATATATAATAGAGAATTATTAACTTAAGATATTTCAAGTTTCAGATATCTTAGAGAAACATAAATTGGATTATTGTATTCTTAAAATATTGTTTCTTCCATTAACTTGTTTATATTATTTACTTACTAAAAAAATAGATTTTTAAACAAAATTTTTTTGGTTTTAAAATTAAAAATTTTAAGATAAATTTAGTAATAAAGTATTAAAAAAAATCTATTATTTAATTTTTTATATTTTAAAAAATACTGTATGTATATCTTTAAAATTTTATAGCAAATAAATAAATATTTGTTCAAAGACTTTTTAGACAAACTGTATATATATTAAGAAAAAAAAACAGTTTTTTTAAATAATAAAGTTAATTATTATTTTAAAAGTCTTAATAAATACAATAAATAAAAAGATAAATATTAAAATATTAAATAAAAAATCAAATTTTTTAATTGAAATTTAATTAAATATTAATTAAGTACTTAATAATTTATTGATTGAAATTTAAAATAAATTAATATTAATATTTATTTATATTTCTACTTGTTATATATTAAATCAAACAAATATATCAAAATTTAATTATAACTTGGAAAGACAAATCTATATATTAATTATAAATTTTAATATGTTTTTTTATATTTTAATAATTATTAGAAACTTAAACAAGAAATTATTTTAAGTTTTATATAAATCAATTTGATTAAATGTTAATAATATATTTATAAAAATCCATTAATCAAATTTGTTCTTGAGATTTTTATTAATATTTTTCGGTTTTTATTTTATTTCATCAATTATTTATTAAATTGCAAATAAAATATAAATTAAAAATTTGTTCAAAGGTTTTTAAGCAAACTGTATATTATAGTTTTATTGTTTTTTTAAAAAAAGAATTTAACTATTTGATTAAATACATGGTTTTCAATTTAAAAAGAGTTTTAAATTATGCTAAGTTTATTAGGCAGCATATCTTGAATAGGGTACTTCAGGATGTAAAATCGTATAATACTTGCGTTTGCATGCATCTGGTGATCTATTTGGCAAATAATTTGAGATTTGTTTCCAGTCTGCTCCATAAAGTCTTACAAGAGAAATTAATTTACTTTCTTCATTTTCTGTCCAATTCAAAACTTTTTCTGTCGAACGATTATTTTGTGGAAAAAGCGCCTCTTTGTTTTGCTTTATATATGTTTTAATAGAAAAGGATGATCTCTCAGGAAGAAACTTTGATATTCGGTTAAAATCCCGACCATATTTCTTTATCAAGTCCTTTAGTAATTTTACCTCTAACTCGGTCCACATCCTACGATTACGGCGAGGAAAGATAGAATCATTTTTTGTATTTTTATCAGAAAACATTTCTCTATTAGAATAAAAGTATTCCATGCAATCTTCTTGCGTTTTCCCAGGAAAATAGTCAGAAATTGTCTGCCAGTCTTCACCGTGCACTCCGAAGAGGTTTCTGAGTTTCGATACATCATCTTGAGTCCATTTTTGAAGTTCTCTTTTATAAATTCCAAGATCAGTATAGATCACCGGGGTTTGAGATACCAATTGTTCTATATCACTGGGACTTCTATCGTAAAAATGTTGACTTATAAGTTCCCAATCTGGACCATATTTTTGGAATAACTCGATTACACATATGATGTCTCTGATGGGCCAATTTTGAATGCTATTAGATCCCGTTAGCATAATATATCTTAGGTAGCATGCTGATGGAGTCCTTCCTGGCAAATGTTCCGCGACCTCGATCCAATTTGAATCATATTCCTTTTGAAGGTCCAACAGTTTTTTCAATTCACTTATCGTCCAACGATTAGAATGGGTATATTCCCTCCTAACCTCAACAACATCGTCACTTTCTTTTGATTTCATTATTTTATCTAGACCGTAGTATTCAGGATTCGCTCTTATTTGCGCTCTAATCGAACTTTTCTCCTTTAGCGGAAAATGATAATTAATTTTCTTCATATCAATGCCAAATTTTTTAACCAAGTTCTTTAAAAGTATTTTTTCCTCCTCCAGCCATTCTTCACGTTCCAAACTATTTCTGCAAAAGTTATTCAGTTGACATTTCATTGGAGTTATCCCGGGTAAGAGGATCGGTAATATTTGCCACTTTCCATATTTTGATATGATGAGATCCAAGATCTGAACCAGTTCCTGAGGCCATTTGTGTAATACCAATTCACTTTTGTTATTAGTGAAGTTCCAACACTCCTTATACTTAATCTTACAAGCGTATGGTGTTCTACCAGGGAGATTATCGGCTATAGTGTTCCAATCATCGCCATATTGTTCAACAAGATCATTCAACGAATTTGTCTCGCGTTCAGTCCAACGAGTCGCGACTTTGAACCACTTTAGAGTTTTTCCATTTCTAAGCACCGGTAGTTCTAAATAATGTTTTGGCAAAGCACGAAGAACAGCCATTGGTGTCCTGCCACGCAGATATTTTGAAATTACATCGTAATTCTTGCCAAATTTTAAAAGTAATTCATTCAATAGTTTTATTTCGCCTTCGCTCCACATCCTGGATCTAATTGATCTATTAGGAAACTTGAAAAGAGAGGAAAACTTGTTAGGATTCCTGTTGACAAATTTCTCTATTTCGGATATACTTTTTGACGGGAAATTTTTCGCAATTGTTACCCATCTACGTCCATATTTTGTGAGCAAACTATCTAATAGTTTTATTTCCTCCTCAGTCCATGATAGCATGCTTTCTGCTTCACTCATCTGTGTTGATCCGTCAGCCTCTTTAAGCCGTCTGGAATCTGGTAGCATGGAAATCATGGCTAAATATTGATCACGACAATCGCTTGGTGATTTATCCAGCATGTGCTTAGCGATTATATTCCAATCTTGCCCGTATTTATCAACAAGACTTTCCAAGACTCTCAACTCCAGCCTGGACCAGCGATTTGTTACAGAAGTGCCTGAAGCAAAAGTGCCGACTTTATTCCGGGACTTTTTACTAACTTCAGAAATACTTCTCGAGTCCTTTTCGGCCTTGGTGTCCTTGGTAGCATTGATAGGATTATCAGACCTGGAAGAAGGTGTATAATTACGCTTGGATGATGACTCTATTACTGCGAATGCCGAATCCTGATGACCGATGTGTCGTATATACGATGTTCTCAGAAATGTGATTCTCTTTATATAAGAAAGAGATTTACTTCGGATTTTGCCGATCATTAGATGATAAGCTTCCAATAACTAGAGATACGCGGTATTTATAAATTCAAAATTATTAATTAAATTGTATGTTAAAATTATACTTGATAGTATAATTCATTAATTACAAATTTTTTGATTATTTGATATAAAATAAACAAATACTTGTTATTATTACCATATATAACAATCAACATATACTGTACAGTATTATACAGTATATAATTATATCAAACATCAGATAAAAAATTATATATTTTTTTCAAAGTATTAAAAAATTTTTTAATTTTTTAACAATATACTTTTTATTGTTATTAATTAATAAGATGCATTTATTTAAATAAATATTTTAAGTGAATAAAAATTTTGTAATCTTATTACAATGATATTTATTATTCAAAATTATTAATTTCAATTTATAATTATTTTTTTAAATAACATTTATATCATGAAATAATTAAGATTAAGATGACATTAGCATTAAATATTTTGTTAAGTATAACAACCTTTTTTTTTATGAATTATCTTTATAATATTTAAAGATAACTGCAATATTTTTTAAATCATTTTTTCTTTTTTTTTTGAAATAAAGTTTATTTCTTTAAATACTTGTAGGACTTTTTACCTTTGATTATTTTTGTTCTCATTTGCAATTGGCAATGAAATCGATTTTACAAACCCATTTTTTTAAAAGCATGATTCCAAATGTAAATTTGGGTCACACGAAAATTGCATGAATGATATTGTGCAATTACGAAATCTTAATCAATAATCATTTATTTCTATCCTAGAGATTCCATATTTACAAAATTACAATGCGAATTTTAAATTGAACTGTCATTCAAGGAAGAAATTTATGAAAATATTGATGTTTATAAGACTCCAAAATTTTAATTTAGAGTCGGGTGGTATAATAAAAATCGAATTGTTAAAGGTTATAACCAAACAACTCATGCAATGGAAAAATGGGATTATGGTAATGTGGAAGTATTGTTAGTCTCGGATGAAGCGTCATTTGCTCTTACAGTATAAGTTGGCGGTGGAATCCAATCAAGAGAGGTCGGTGGTTTAGTGACATATGCCGCATATGGTGTCATCTGACCATTTTGATCGACGGCATATGGTAAGACAGGCGTTAACGAGTCTTTTAACATTTGTTTTGAGAAACGAGAAATGACAAAGGAAAAGTAGAGCTATAAAGGAAAAATCAGTTATTAAAATCATCAATGAAAAGATAAACAATTTATCAAAACGAATGATCGGATAATATACCGAAAAGAATTCAGAGAAGGCAAATTTCAATGCATCTTTAATCAATATGATATTGACAACTTGGTTGCAGTCAATTTCTTGATCAAAATCCTCTTGGCATTGTTGTACTGAAGAACTTTTAAAAACTATTTCAAGAATATAGGTCGTCAGATTGTAGAAAAGAAGCGACATGGTGATAATCCAAGAGGCAATTGATAGTTTGTACATCATAACGGCATTATCCTTAAAGAATAAGAAATTTAAAACTGTCAGAAGAAGATTGTAACATCAAAATAAATTAAAAGACTTATCATAAAACGTACCTTTCGGATGAAACTCAGCCCCAAAAAACCAGACACGAATACGAGAAAATATAAGATACCAGAGATTACAAGAAAAACTATATCTAATGTATCAGAAGATTCTAAGATATACACAGGGGTGTTGAAAAAGAATTAATCTTGGCGGTCATGTAAAAGAAAGTATTCGGCGAATAAGACTTACCTGTAATGTAGAAAAATGATGCAACGGAACTCAAAAATCCTGATAGCTGAGGGTAAAGATAAATTATTACTGTTAATATAAAATCTTTTATCGACAAAATGTATGACATACATGTAAATACTCACGAAATAAAATGATAAAATGATGGCAACTCCTGTTCTCTCTGGGATGCAAATACAACAACTTCTGAGTTTATTTGAACTTTGTTTTTCAGCAGAGTCTACGATGGTGAATGTGGGAAGAGGTCCCTTCTCATATGCGCTATTATTTTCTGAGGCCATTTTTAGCAAAATTATAGAATTGGCGAAAAAGATGTAAAAGAAACCGCCAGCGATTTAATAAAAGGAATACGTAAGAGAAGAAAAATGACTGGAATTAAATGCAAATCGACCGGCGATTTTCTCAGGTTGTAATAAAGGTTCAATTAACTAAGTAAAGAACGAGGGGAACTTGAAGTAATATCAACACTTTTTATAGTTGACTAAATAAGAAATTTTTGCTGATCATTCACGGTTACGCCAAGATTCTGTAATACTAGGGGCGTTCGAACAGTGGTTTCATTAATACCGATTTATGTTACAGAATTAGTGATTTTCGTGGCTGCTATCCCCAATATGTAATGAAAGTAATACACTCACTTTGTTATTTTAAAACAAGAACTTTTTCTTTTTTTAGCTTACAAAATTCTTTGTGATCGTCTTCTGAACGAATGAGGTTGTATCTAAATTTAATTGGTTGACTCTAATCTCAAACGTAAGCTGTATAGTGTTCTTTATTAAAGATAGTGTTCTTTATTTAAATCACTATCAAAAAAATGTCCTCAAATAAAAAGGCCACTCCTTCGGGAATTATTATCACTGAAAATAATGAACGAGTTATTCCAGCTTCAAAACGCCCAGATGGTACTTATCGAAAAGAGCGTCGCGTTCGTTCCGGATTTACTCCGCAGGAAGACATAGAACGTTACAAAAATAGAAATGTTGCAGAACTGGAACCGGCGCCGGAAGTTCTTAATAAAGATGAAACACCAAAAACAAAGGTACAAGAGAAAAATAGAAAGCGTAATGAAAGAAGAAAATTGAAAAATGAAAAAAACGAAAGCGAAATTGTTAAAAAAGAGTCTGATGTAAAAGAAATTGATGAAATTCAAGATAAAATGACTGATCTGTCGATTACTTCAGAAATTAAGGAGACAATCGTTGAAGCGACACCGTTGGAGCTGATTTCTAAGAAGATTAAAGCGTTGGAAAAGAAAATAAGGCAGATCGATCGAATCAAAGAAAAAGAGGCTACTGGAAAGACGTTACTCGAAGAAGAGAAGAATAAATTAAACAAATTAGAACAAATTAAAGAAGAGTTGGAGGATTTGAAGCGAAGAAATGCTGATTTGGAATAATTTAATTGTTTTTCTACGTGACATTAAATCTTATGATTGATCGCAAGGTAACCTGATATTTTGACAAAGTGATCGAATTTTAATTTAATGATGGGACGCTCAGAATCATCATTTTGATGCCACCCCCTAGTAATCCATACGAATTTATGCAGATTTCAAAAATAATCATATGGATTCTAAACACGGAGAGGATGAATCCCTCATTGTTTAAACATTAGGTATTGAGGATTGTGATTGAGATTCCCAAGATTCGTATAAGCAAAACTGTGAAATTTATTCTCCCATTGAATCGTGCACAGTTTGAGTGTACCGATTTTAGGAGCAGAATGTGGATAACATCAATTCAGCAGTCTAGCAGAAGGGATTTTGTAAATTGTGTTAATATAAATAAATAATAATAGTCTGATGCTAGAGAATACTTGATATAAAATGAAAAATATCATACACAACATCATGCGTAACATACGCAATTATAATGATATAATTACTTTTAATAAAAAAATTTTTGGTGGGAATATAATATAATTTTTATTAAAACAATAAAATCAAAGTAAAAAATTTGAGCAATTATTATTTAATTTCTTTTTTTTTTTAATGTTAAGTGAGGCATTTCTCGTGATCTTTATTAATAGAGTAATTGAATTATTACATGATTAATATTAAGATACTAAAATACATCATTATATATGTCAGCCTACCATCATTCTAAGTATATTTTTGTTAAAAAATCTTGAGGCAAGAAAAAGAGAAAGTAACTACTTAGTTTTGGAGGCTAATGCCTCCCTAAAATTATTATTTAATTTCATAATAATAATTATTAATTAAAATTAAAAAAATGATTCAAATTTTAAACGAATTTTTAAAAATAAGTATACAATATACATGGTATATAAATAATTATTTTTGAAGAAAATGAAATCATTAATTAAAAAATTTTTCTTTTTTTAAATACATACAATTCTAGCAACAAAAAAAAATTGACAATTAATTTTTTGATTATATATTTTATTTAATTTTGATTTAATGAATTGATATTTATAAATTATAATATATTATACATATATATGAGTAATTATTTTTAAACATGAACAAGAACTTTTCAAATATCATAATTATGCTCCTTAAAATTACATTGTATATGTATCATTTAATAATAGAAACTGAAAAAACACATTTATTATTTTTTTATTTTTATTTTAAAAGTAATAAACCATCACCATTTATTTTATTTGTTAATAACTTAGGATAATACAAATTGTGTTTTGAATAGTATCTGACTTTATATTATTTTAACAAATTTATTAATAGTCAAATTAAATTTAATTAATCTATTATTTTTTTATCATATAAATATATTAAAATGAATTTCAAATCTATATATTAAATTATATAATAAAGTAATTTTATAGAATAAAATATAAAAAACTATAATAATTTTATTTTATCTTAAATTTTGATAAGATAACTTATTTAATTAAATATTTAAATAATTATTTTTTTAACTAGATACTATTAATAATATTTAACTTTTTATTTAACATATTTAAAATTGATCTTTTTAATTTGCTTTAAAATTATTTTAGATTATTTTATCTATATCAGGTATATAAAAAAGATAATTGTATTATATTATAATATTTTGTATTTAAAATTATACTATTTGATTATTTAATAAAATCTTATATACAAGTATAAGGCAAAATAAAACAATAATAGTTTTTTTTGTTGATTTTTTTAAATTATTTCTTAATATAAAAATATTGTAATTATTTATATACAAGTTAACTTTCAAGTTATAAAAAAATTTTAATATATTTATTTTTTAAATATAATAAAAATATTCAATAAATAAAATTATATTTGATTTAATAAAATCCTCACATGTATCATACCTTAGTCCTTAAAAAAAAAAAAAAAAAATTATATTTGATTTATTTTTTTTTGATAAATATTAAATATAAAATCTTTATTAAACTTATATTATTAAAAAATAATTAAAAATTTATTATATTATTACTAGTTTTATTTATAAGAGTAACTAAAATCTTTAGTTATTATATATTATTTTATTAAATTTTTCAAGTAAAATATATTTCTTGAAAATTCAAATACCAATAATTAATAATAATTTCTTAAATATACAGTCAACTTTCATTACAGTAACATTGGATACAATAACATTTTGATATAATAACATAATTTTTAAAAAACAAAAATTTTTTATTAAAATTCTTTAATTATAATAACATTTATATATAAATTTATTATAATAACTATAACATTAAATTATTTTAAATTTAATAGAATGTTATTATATTAAGTAT